TTATAACAGTAAGATTTTGGAGTGGGCTGTCCATCCTAAACCCAAATTATTTAATGGGCCAAAAAGGGTGCACAATGGCCCAAGAGATCCGTTAACAACACATTTGATCCATAATAAGGAATGGGCCAAATCCAAAGGAGAGAGCCTGGCAGAGAGTCAAGCTCGGCACATCCCTGCTCGGTCATAATAAGCTCATCGTTAAGCAGCTCGGGATCAATGAGCTCGGTACTTACCAAACCCCAAATGTCCCATTTCGTGCCACGTGTTCAGGGGACAACTTTTGAAGCCTCTAACGAATGTGTACTCTCTGGTAAAGGGAATATTTGTGCACGTAACCACTCAAAGATTGTGGATACAGTGGCGTCACATGACAAAGGTCACTAAAGGACAAAGGAAGAGGGGACCACAGAATCAGCAAAAAAGAAGAGGAAGCTGCAAGAAACCCTAGAAGGATTACCTGTATAAATAGAACACTATCCACTACAAAAGAGGATCGACAACTTCTTCATTGATATACTTGTATTCATAAAACATTGTATGAATAGGCTTTAAGCCCAACAACCCATTGTAATTTTCTTCCTCAAGAAATATACAAACCCCAAAGGAGCAAGACAGTCTATTACAGTGGACGTTACCTTAGTCTCTCGGCTAAGGTGAACCACTTATATATTATTTCTGATTCATTCTAACTGCTTAATCCACTGTCAATTCATACATTCACACTACCCCCTCTCTGGACCATCAAGCTCATCGTTCTGGGCTTGGGTTTAGCATTTTTGAGCACCATCAGATTCTAACTCCATCTTCTTAATGCAACCAAACTTTTTATAACGCCAAACAGATTTTAAGTTTCTTTGTAGAAGAATGATGAAACAAGCGAGCTAGGTGAGTACCAACGTCATTTTGTGGGTGTAATAGAGCGTGTCTGAGAGAGAAAAGGAAAGAATAAAAAGCAGATGAGTAAGAAATAAGATTTATAAATACATGATTATTTTTTTCTAATACGAAATAAGTTTTTTAACAAAAAAGGGAATAAAGTATGATACATGATTAATTTTGGTTCTGTGAGCAAAAAAAGACGTATTGATAATATTTTCAAACATTTTTAATGATGTAAGTCTTAATTTTTCTTCAGAATAAAAGGTTGACACATAATTATAAAAATATTATGCCCTATTTGGTAAGAGGGAAAAACAAGTGGATGGAAAGGTGAGGATAAAAATGGAAGGGAAGGACGCATTTTTCATTGTTTGGTGAGAAAGGAAAAGTGGATGGAAAGGAAAAAAGGATAGAAAGAATTTCCTCTGTGACCATCATTTTTTATCCACCCAAATATGGGCAGAAAATGGGAGAGAATTGTTGGCTGCAAAAGGTAATTGAGTTAATTTATATTTATATCCTTATTAATTGTATATTCTCTATAACTATCATGTTAAGTACTATTTGTATAAGGGGCACAATTTTAAAATATTGTTATATAATTTATACATGGTAAGACACCTGATGACATTATTTAATTATTTTTTTATAGTAAAATTCTAAATCACATATATAATTTTTTTTTCATATCGAACAATAAAGAAAAATTATATTGTAAGAAGTAAAGACCAAATAAATTTCTTTTTCATTTCTCTTCTAAATGGAATATGTACTATAAATTTAAGTGGGGTCTATTATGTATAAGTGACTCAAACACTGATTAACAATATATTTACAATTTAAACTTAAATAGACGTTTTAGATTTACAATTTCATCTATTTACAGAGTAGTTTGAGTTGTTGGCTATTATTTTTGGTATACATATTTATATTTATTTTTATAACTAATTAGAGCGACATTGAATCCTTTAAATTTTTATAAAAAATATTCTTCCTAAGAAAAAAGGGCTATCTTGTTGGATATAAGTTGCTTTTGACTACTTACCTAAAAAAAAATTGGGTTTGATCAGGTACTTTTCGTGCCTTTTTTCTTATTTTGGAAATTTTAACGGAATTTTTTTTTTGATACCCAAAAAGTGGACAAAAAAATTATTAAGAAACATCCTAGATTCGATAGATAATAAGAGCCACAAACATCGCATTGAAATTTTTGAAGAACCATAAAGTGACATTAGATTTATATCTTTTGTATCTTTTGACGGGGAAGTGTAGAAATGGGTCCCAATTTTATTTATAAAAAATCATGATATGAGATGGATGTATCACGAATGTTTTTGTTAGTGTTATAATAATTTTATTGTATAACTATATTAATTAATAAAATGCTTTTCTTAGGTGTCACGAAGAGGGGAAAACTTACTAATATAGTTGGTTAATGTACATTTGTGACATAAATCAAGTGGAAAACAATATGGTTGAGACAAAGACTCGAGGCACATGGTGATGCACTCCCACCATTTCTAAATATTTAGTAATCGATAAGCAATTGTTTAATGTTCTTATCTTATCTCTTCTTGTTCCATTCTGCAAGTTGGATGGACCGGAAAAGTTAGAGGTCAATCGGGTTCAATCTCTTGGTTAAATTCGAATCATCATTCTAACTTGGCTTCAACTCACACCATTCAAGCATAAAAATAATATATTTTAAAATCAAAAAATTAAATTATTATTAAGAAAATGAAAAATTCTCATTGTTCGCTATTATTTTAGACCCCAAATGTTGTTGAGCCACTCCAGATTGCATGTGTTAAAATTTCAAACTTGGGTATACAACTCGGAATGAAATTTGGATTAAATTATTTATTCAATTTTTGGACTGAAACTTAATTTCAACTAGTATGGATTCCAAGGTTCTGCTATTCAAGCTGAAATTTAGTCTAGCTACCAAAAAATCTATATAATATTCAAGTAATGTCTGAATTTAAAGTGGATTCAGATTTTTAATCCTAAACACAACCTTTACATTGCAATCTCTAATCACAAATAAAATAGTTATGTTTGGATTAGAATTTTTTTCGAACCAAATGTTTTTATTAGAATTGACTTGTTCAAATTACAATTATGTCTAATGGTGTGTTTGTTAACTCAAATTTAGCATTTTAAATGATTGTATTTGGCACTTTAATTAAGTCCTTTTGATAATTAAAATTAAGATCTCTTAATATGTTAAGTGCTCTTTAAAAATATGCTAAAATATTAAGTAGGAGATCCCTTACTTAATTTAGAAAACTCATAAATACAAAAGTTTTTATTAGATAGAGACATATTTTATAAATATTATCAAAATAAAGAGTGGAAGGATAAAACCGAAAATTGACGGGACATTAGGCAGCGTGCCAACGAAAACTTAACATGTGGTAGTCTACAGCTGTCAACGCGCATGCAACTTGCGAAACAGGAAGCACCAAGCAAGTGGGATACTCGGGGCCAAGTAACATACTTGGAACCTGACATTAAATGGAGTGTGGCAACTCATTAATAGGTGTCGTGTTGGTGTGACAAATCATTAATAGTTGTTTAATCCTCAAAGAACGTAAAAGCAATCATCATTACAGGATATTAATAGTTGTTAGACCGAGAGGGAGCCCTCGGGGGTTCCTGAGGGGATTTAGTACCTTCTCATAAAGACTCGACTATAGGTCTGAGTACATATGTAGAGCACTCAATAACGGGGGTTGAGCAATAAATGGTCGGCGTGGTCCCGAGAGTATATCCAAACGTTTGAGCACTTAGCATTAATGAGATATGATGGAATAATACTCATTATGCTAGATCGTAACCCTAAACTATTAAATTCTAGGATGGGAATCTGGCTAAGGGAGACATCATTACGAATTAAAGTATAAACACCCTCTGAAATCTAAACTAAGATACGCTATCTGAATCCACGATGTACTGGTCACTCTTTCTTATTCAAACGCTAACTGACTTAAGCATCGGTGGGAATAAGCTGGTTGTATGCCTGACCCCTTTCCTAACTTTGTTGATTCCTTTTAGGTTCACCATTTGAGATCATTTGGAGAATAACTATCTCAACTCATCATAGGAATTCCCTTGTGCAGAAACTAATTTATTTTTCGGCAGTATCTCTTGTAGTTATCAAACCGTTCGGTTCAATTCAATATTTAAATTTCAATGGGTATCAAGTAATTTATGAATTAAAAATTCAACATTTAATTTTTAATATTCAACTTTCAATTTTATCAATGAATAACATAAAACAATTAAATTGAAAGGTGTATAAACCTGCCAACTGGAGATGCGTCAGAGGAGTTTGAGTTTGGCGTTATCATTTTCTCATTCATTTTATTCCATTGTACCTTATTGGTTGGTGGTAGATCCCAAAGCAACCCTACCCTATTCTCTGTTGGGGACCTTGCGTCATGGAGCATAGCTCAATTAATTATCTTTCCCCCCTTTATGTCTCTCTGAGGACCTTTTTGGTCCCCTTATAAGCAATTTGGGTATTCTAAATTCCAGTATTGGTCAATTTTAATCAGAGTAAAAGATGTGGTGCTTTTTTGCTGGTTATAAAAGATGTGGCGTTGATACGATGAATAATATTTGAATTTTAAAAGAGTAAAAGCGTGACAAAAAATATTATCGTAAGAAACTTACATTCTTTAGTCCTTCTTAAATCTCATTTAGCCAGTTTAGCATTAACTCAAGTTTCATCATCTATTTCTATTGTCTCACCTTTTTTCTGCATTCGATTGCATTTCTTTACCTGGGTTCTTTGTCAATCTTGAAGAAGCTCCTTGCTTTTGAGGAAAAAAGCCCATCAAAAAGCTTATATATATAGGAAAAAACCCTCCAACTCCTTTTCTCCATTTCCCCATTTTTTTTCTTGAACCTTTTCCTTGAGCCTAGGGTTCAAAACCCCTTTTTTCCCAAAAGATATTGAGAGAGCTTGACGTGCAGGAGCTTGGAGATGATGAAAGGGGGCTCCAATGACAGTTCCACAACAAAGCAGGCGACTGAATCAAGGGATTCAGGAGAAGTCCTGGGGCTGGCCTTGGCGTGGCCATGGGCAACGTCAGGCGAAGCCTAGGTGGCATTAGGCAATAACCCAGAAAGTGACGCTGTTCGAGGCCTGGTGCTCGAGGTTAGGAGGGCGCTAAGCGGTGCTGGAGGCAGAGGCGCTCATAGTGAAGGCAGCTCCAGTGATAGAGACAGGTGTCAACTGGGTGACGACTCTCACATCCTCAGTTCAGGCGACATTTGCCAAATGGGGAGCAAGGCTATGGAGGGCGCCTCTATAGGCGAGAGAGTCATCGACAGGGAGGCAGGCGAGATTGGTAGGGAGATAGATGAGACTGGGTTGGGCGTGCCTATCAGCCCAAGCCTCCGCTCCATGGACTAAGTCTCAAAAATTTTTCATTAAAAGTCGCACAACATTATTTTGGATAAGGTATTCATCCGGATCAACACACAACTAGACTCCACAAAAAATTCAATAGATATTGGTATTCCCTTGACATTGACCTTGATTCTGTCTTGGTTCTGTTTGTTGGCAGGCACCCACTTTTACAAGGTCATCGTGGGGGAGACCACTCGAGCTATCGAGCGAAACATGGGTACTGCTGGAGATAATCGCTCAAAGGTGACTTCCATATTTAGCTCCATTGAGTACGATGATGATATCACTTGTATTGTATCTTCGTACCGTATCCCTCCTACTATCGTGTGTCATCGGACAAAGTAGGATGAGCTAGCTTGTAGTGACTCCTCGGGTGAGATTGTTCTTTATGAGGTACCTTAGAGGTGGCTTTGAGGTTCCTGATAACTAGGCCCATATGTCGGATCCTGGGACATCTGTCACTGGCTCCTAGGAGGTTGGCTCCCAATGGGTAGAGGATGATTCTAGCATTCTTCTCATTATGGTGGCTGGTTCACAGTGTTGATGTCCCTCCCTATTTGAGGAGTTTTTGGCCACGTATGTGCTTTTGGATAACCCCTTTCATCATCAAGGGTGGCGTCGTTTTGCCCCGAGGTCGGGTAAGTTGACCACTGAATTTCCTTCGAACTATCATAGCTGGAAGTCTAAGTTTTTTTTTGTTGGAGGCGAGTGGGCCACCAAGGGAGATCGTGACCTAGTGCCTTCGAGGTGGGACACCATCCTGAGGACCAAGCTAGGTAAGGATTCCACTTTTGTTTTTAATTTTAGTCGTCACATATCTGTTCTCACTGTATGATTAACTTTTATGTAGTTTCACTCACATTATCTACGGAGCAAGAGAGTAGGCTCCAGATAGTTTGTGACCATCCTTTTCAAGGAATTCTTAGATATTATGTCCACGTCAGGTCATCCCAAGGTTTCTCATAGGCTGAAGATGAAAGGTACCTGATCCTTCCAATAGACTCCTAATGGTTATGACATTGTAAGTTTTTTGCCTCACACCAAGTTTGTAGGTACTTTTATTGATAGGGCGATGGTGGAGGTTGTCTACTCTTCTAGGGTGGCGTCTCCCCCTCCTTCTTCTAAGAGGGCAAGGTCTGGTGCCCCTGGTGTTTCTCAGTTGAGGTCTGCCAGCTAGGATAGTCCCCGAGAGGCGAGACTTGGTGATGCTCCCACTCCTTCCCCTGCTATGGTACTATCACCTTCCAGGGTTCATCCCAGTATGGTCGTTGGGATTGAAGCTTCAGTACGGTCTCCTACGAGGATCGGGGCTCTGCTTGACTGTCCTGCTTCTAGCAGTGGTTCAGTGTCTATGCTGCAGGACGTGAATCTGGCCAAGGAGCGACTATGGGGGTTTGCGACCATCGTAGAGATCCAGGAGCTTGGTTCTCGAGGTCTAGGGGACCTAGGATGTCTATCCCCCACATGGAGAAAGACCAAGAGCTCTGAATGGTGGTGAACTCTGAATGGTGGCTATCTGGGTATAGTTACAAAGCATTGATACTTGTCACACTTCTTGATGAATGCTCGGGCATCTTTGATCAGGCTAGGCCAGTAGTAGCCTTGCCTTACTTCTTTGTAGGCTAGTGCACGCCCTCCTGAGTGATTTTCACATATCCCCTCGTGGATCTCCTTTATGGCGTAATTAACTTCCTTGGGGGTAAGACAGCGGAGAAGTGGTAGTGGGCAACTCTTTCTGTAGAGTGTGTCGTGTAAGATGACATACGTGGATGCTCTTATCCTCATTTTTTTGGCTTTCACTGGGTTGTCCGAGAGAGTGCTCTCCTCTAGGTAGACTCAAATGGGTGTTATCCAGTTGGCTTCAGAGGATGTACAATTAACATCCTCCTCCTCTATCTTGAAGGTGCTTGGCTCGAACTGGTGGCTTGTCAGTGCTGGGCCCATGAGTTTGTTGGTAGACACAAATTTGGTGAGGGTGTCGGCCATGGCAATCTCCTCTTAAGGCACATGGTGGATTTGGAAGTAGGTAAATCTTTTTAACAAAGCTTGGACCACTGACAAGTATTCTTGCATTCTTTTCTCCTTTGCTTTAAAGTCTCCCTTTACCTGGTTGACTATCAACTATAAGTCACAGTGGGCTGTCAGGTAGAGGGCCTCCATCTCTAATGCGAGCTTCAAGCTTGATATGATGGCATCATATTTAGTTTGGTTGTTAGATGTTACAAAATGGAGGGAGACAAGGTACTTGATTGGAGTGCCATGGGGGCTGATCAGCACCAGTCTCACACCGTCGCCCTCCCTGGTGGAGGACCCATCCGCTTATAATCTCCAATATGGTACAATAGACGGTAGTAAGGGCTTGGAGGGCTCTAGTAGAGTAGGCATAAGGGAGTCGGGCACCTCTAGTGCCAGAGTGTGGTCTTACGGGGCCTGTGGAGCTATCCTTGAGACATAGGGCCCTCTCGAGATAATGTTTGGGCTTGTCTCATGGTGGGTAGAGGCAAAATGTGATAAGCAGATAAGCGGAGGGGCATGTGATGCTTTTTCTCGGCACTCCTGTGGTGGTGTAGACTCTCAAAATTCTTGTGGCGGTGTAGACTCTCAGGATTCTTGTGGTGGTGTAGACTCGGCCACAAAGTCTGCAAGTGCTTGTGCTTTGATGGCCGCCCTCGGCTAGTACTGCACATCGAACTCACTTAACTCGATGGCCTACTTGAGTAGTTGGCCGGACATATCAAGCTTTCCCAGAAATTTTTTTAAGTGATTGATCTATAGCAACCATGATGGTGTGGCTCTGAAAATAGTGGCGTAGACGCCTGTTAGTGGTGATAACTGCGAGAGCCAAATTTTCAAGCTCCGAGTACCTTATCTCTGCCCCTTAGTATGCCCTACTTACATAGTACACAGGTTTTTGGATGTTTCCATCCTCCTAGACAAGGACAGAGCTCATGGTTGAAGGTGAGGAGGAGAGGTAGAGATACAAGGTCTCTCCTGGTCCAGCATGGAAGGGCAGATGTGGTGTGACGAGGTAAGCCTTGAGCTTCTAGAAGGCCTCCTCTGAATTGGACCCCGCTGGAAAGACTTATGGAGGATTTTAAAGAAAGTCAGACACTTATTTACTAATTTTGAGACAAACTTGTTGAGGACTGCTATTCTCCCGTTTAGGCGTTGGACCTCCTTCACTGTGGCTGGGGACTTCATCTCCAAGATGACTTTGATCTTGTCTGAGTTGGCTTCAATGCCACTTTTGTTGACTATGAAGCCTAAGAATTTTCCTAAACTAACGCCAAAGACGCAATTTTAGGATTCAGCTTTATCTTGTAGTCTTTCAGTACATCAAAGGTCTCTTGGAGGTGTGTTATATGGTCTGCTGCGACCATACTCTTTACCAACATATTGTTTATGTAGACCTCCCTAGTCTTCTCAATCTGAGCCTCAAACATCTTGTTCACGAGGCGTTGATATATGGCTCTAGTGTTCTTGAGTCTAAAGAGTATCACCCTGTAGTAGTAGGTGCCTTTCGAGGTGATAAATGAAGTTTTCTCTTATTCTGGAGGGAGCATGTTGATCTGGATGTACCCAGAGTAAGCATCCAGAAAACTTAAGAGCTCGTGTCCTGTAGTGACATCAATAAGGAGATCGATACATAGGACAGGGTAGCTATCTTTAGGACAGGCTTTGTTGAGCTTTGTGAAGTCCACGTAGAGGCGGCACTTCCCATTGACTTTCATAACCATCACTACGTTGGATAGCCAGTCTGGGTAGGCTACCTCCCTTACTAATCCATTTTTTAGTAGCTTCTCGACCTTCTTTTTCATAGCTTGGCCTTTTTCAATACTTACATTCCTCAGCTTCTGGCAGATAGGTTTGTACCTTGGATCGACGTTGAGTCGATGGGAGGCCACTTCGGGGTCAATGTCTTCCAAGTCTTCATGGGACCATTCCTTTTGAGGAAGTCTATCAGGTCGAATACTTGTTACTGGGAAAGTGAGGAGCCTATATAGACTCTCATCTTTGGAAGGCTTTCATCCACCACTATTGGCCAAAGTTTTTCTATAGGTTCTCCTCTATTCAAGGTGTTGTCATCTTTCTCCAAGGTGTTGTTATCTATCGGCCGAAGTACTTCGACTTGGAGAGTCTCGTGTGGCCATTTGGCCCTCATAGAGGCCACATAGCATTCCTAAACGGAGACTTGGTCTCCTATAATCTCTCCAATCTCACTGGTGGTTGGGAAACGGAGGAAAAGGTGATAGGTGGTCGGTATTGCGCTTAAGGTATTGAAGGCAGGGCATCTAAGAATAATATTATTGGCAGAGGGGCAATCAAGTACAATAAAGTTTATCATGATGGTGGAACTCCTCGGTACTATTCCTAGTGTGACCGGTAGGGTGATGGAACCCAAGGGATAACCCTTTTCCCTGAGAAGCCAACAAAGGCAGTCCTAACGGGTTGCAATCTCTCCCTACATAGATGGAGGCTGTTAATGGCTGATGCAAACAGAATGTCGGCTGAGCTGCCGTTGTCAACCAAGATTCTCATAACCTGGTAGTTGGCTACCACCAAGGTTAAGACTAGAGGATCATCATGAGGGACTTGGATCCCCTTGAGGTCCCTATTCGAGAAGACAGGTGACTTTGCTAGTCTGGCTTTCCAGGTGTGCACTTTTTTGGCGAAGTTGGAGTCATCTCCTCCTCCTAACTCTCCGGAGATAGTCTAGATCTCTCTGAGGGGTTGTTAGCGCTCTCGATCCTCCTAATTTTGACCAGTTGATGGAGCCGGTCCTTGGTCAACAACGTATTGCCTCAGCTAGCCACATTGGATAAGTTCCTCGATCTGTCTCTTTAACTCGAAGCAATCGTCAATGTTGTGGTTATGGTTGCGATGGAAACGACAGTACCTGCTAAAATTTTTGCGATTTGAAGCGTACCTCAATTTTTTGAGCTAGTGGAGTGTGTGGTCATCTTGTAACTGGAATAGGATGTGCTCCACCGAGGCATTGAGTG